TTTGGCATTTAAGTCACAAGGGGGATGTTGCTAATTGGGTAGCAGCAATAGAGACAAAGACTGGTCTCCATACGAAACCAGTCTTCCCAGTTCCCATATTTTCTTGTCTTGGAGTCCGAGATGTATATTCTTGCAATCTTGACCCCAGCCCTCCTTTGCTCATTTCCTGGTTGGACAGGGTTTTTATTCTTTACGATCAATTCTTGACCAAATATGTGTGGCTCTACTTCAGACTAAAAGTCAACATATTGACATGAAGAGATGGGAATTCAGTCTATCACTTTGTGCTTAATATTTGGGGAGAAGATAAATGAGCTAAACAGAATGGAGAGAACTTCTCAGCACTTTTACACTCAAATCAGATCTGGTCAGTTCTGCTTCTCAAATATTTTTCTTATCCGTCTTTTTCCCACAGCCATAGCCATCTTTTATCTGAATTATAATACCCTTTTAGGCAATAGAAAAAGATGGAAGGATACTTGCTATTTTAAGAAAATGCAAATACCGAATATCACTGTGGAAAGACCTCATGGCTTCCCAGTCTTTTCCCTTGATATTCACCTTCCCCTTGAAGAACCATGATGATCGCCGTCTCTACCAGAGAAGCGCCAGTTTCCCGTCCACGTGTTGATTGGTCTTCTTTGTTTTTCCTTATTTGTAGCATTGCTAAATCCAGGAGAAATAGTCATATAAAGCTTTTAGATAGGGCTTAGGAGTAATGGGGGATAGAGGTGGGGGAAGCAAATAAAACACTAAGATGCAACTTACCTAGCTATAATTGCGTACAGCTTGTTCTTTTTATTCAATAAACATTTGAGCACTCTGTGATTACCATGGTGCCTACACGGACGACACATCACTGCTTGCAAGATGCAGGCGGTAGCTGGGGTATGCTAATGCTGCGACAGGTTAAAAAAAGATAAATCAGTGCGTGGAGCACCTGTCACTTTAAACTACGCAGGAAAGGCTGTGCTCTCTCCCTTTCATCTGGAAGATTCACCAGTCATTTGAGCCCTTTGAAGTCACTCATTCAGCCCTCAAAATGGTTTGGCTGGACACTATCCAGTTCTGGACAAGAGGACAGGAGCTGGCTTCCGCTAGCAGCTCGTGAGGTTTTCTTTCGTCGGCGGTATTGCTGGTTATCTTGTAATGCTTGTGATGAATTTCTCTAGCCTCTAAGTCACCCAACCCAGGAACTCCTCACGCTGCTGGGTTTTATAACAAGAAAGGTCTTATTGTTTAAGCTACCAAAAAAGAAGAAAAGAAGAAAACAAGAGGCGCCCTAAAATAATATTTGGGGGAAGGCAATTAGGAAAGAGTTCACTAAGAAAATAAAAACTTAAAGGACAAACAAGCGAGAGGGCAGGAAATGAGGAAGTAGTCCAAAAGAGTCTAAGAATGTGCAAAAGGCAAGGGAATGGTTATGTTTAGGAAATCGCGAGTAGTTCAGTCTGCGGTGTAGAGTACAAGGGTGAATTTCCTCCTCTTCCAGTCAATGGCAGCCTTCTCAGTTTGGTCTTCCAGGCTCAGGAACCACATCTTTGGTGGTTAGTGCCAATAAAATTCTCTTCCTTAGAGAAAAACCCTTGCCTCTTATACTGCAAAATTTTACTCCATGATCTTGATAAGGACAAAACAGCAGAAGAGTACATTTATGTATTTAATGAGAACTTGTTGTCACTGCCAACAGAAAGGCCGCTTTCCATAAACCCGGGATCATAGGGAAACTGGTTATTCTATTTTTAGCTTACGTATGCACTAACGGTACAAAATATGTAAACCCCATCACTTCTAAATGGCAGTTCTCTTCATTGAATGAAAATCCGTTTACTTCCAATTTTTGTTTTGAGAAGTAGAGGCTTAGAAAACATCCTTAAATATTAAAATCGCATTAAAAGGGAAGCAAATTAAGTTTCTAGAAAGTTTAAGAAGGTACTGTACTGTGGTTTTCCTTGGTCATTGTTGTCAACCAGTTAAAATGTACTCAGTTTCTCTAGATCCACAGCTCTTAATTTGAAGCTGAGGTCTTAAATTTTCCTTTCTAGGCTGGACTCAGCGGCTCATGCCTGTAATCCCAGCACCTGAGGTCAGGAGTTGGAGGCCAGCCTGGCCAACATGGTGAAACCCTGTCTCTACTAAAAATACAAAAAATTAGCCAGGCATAGTGGTGTGAACCTGTAATCCCAGCTACTTGGAAGACTGAGGCAGGAGAACGCTTGAATCCAGGATGCAGAAATTGCAGTGAGCCAAGATCATACCACTGCACTCCAGCGTGGGCAAGAGTGAGACTATCTCAAATAAATTTTAAAAAGTTAAAAATAAAATTTTCCCTTCCAAAAGGATTACAATGACATGAATACAAAATGGAGTGTTTTAGGTAGCAATTACCTAAACGTGGATGCTGTTGAGCATGCATTCTCAATGGGGTGAAAACTGGTTCCCTTAGGGACGAAAAAAATTCCATTTTGTATAAAGCACGAAAACATTTATAGTTCATAAACAGATACACAGTATATATGTGGTGTTAAAATTTCGTGGGGAAGGGGTAACTTGAAAAAAATCTAAAAGAGCTCTTTAGGGAGGCGATAAAGAAAAGTTTAAGTAGCCAGTTACTTAGGAGGCTTACGCAGGAGAACTGCTTGAGGCCAGGAATTTAAAAGCAGCCTGGGCAACATAGTGAGATCCCATGTCTACTTAAAAAAAAAAAAAAAAAAAAAAAAAAAAAAAAAAAAAAAAGCTTAAGCTGCTGTAGAGATTCTTTTGCCAACTTAGGAATATCTAAATTAACTGTATTTTTTATTATTTATTAATTTATTTTTTAAAGATGCGGTTTCACCATGTTGGTCAGGCTGGTCTTGAACTCCCGACCTCAAGTGATCTGCCCGCCTTGGCCTCCAAAACTAGCCAACTGTATTTTTAAAAACCCTAAATGCCAAACTAACATGGAAAGTTACATCTGTTCCACTTCTAAATAATATACTGTGAATGGCTCCAGTTTCTTGGCTTTTGTCTCTTCTAGCCAAAGTTGCTAAAATTGTTCAAGGAAAAAACTTGGATTTCTTTCTTATTTTTCTTGGGGAGGGGGATGGAGTTTCACTCTTGTTGCCCAGGCTGGAGTGCAAATGGTGCACTCGGCTCACTACAACCTCCACCTCCTGGGTTCAAGGGTTTCTCCTGCCTCAGCCTCCTGAGTAGCTGAGATTACAGGCATGCACCCCCATGCGCAGCTTTTTTTTTTTTTTTTTTGTCTTTTTAGTAGAAACGGGGTTTCTCCATGTTGGTCAGGCTGGTCTTGAACTTCCGACTTCAGCTGATCTGCCCACCTTGGCTTCCCAAAGTGCTGGGATTACAGGCATGAGCCACTGTGCCCAGCTCATATTTCTTTTTTTAAAGATGATAAATCATTAAGTTTATAACACATAGACAGTACAAACCAAGAAAGTAAATTTATTTAAATTACTAAAATAGCTTTTAAAGTCATTTACAGATCAGCTGCTGTAATTATTCTTCCTGAAAGATATAGGTAACATATTACTTTTAAATTACTTGGGTCAGTGAAACATTTAATAAAAACATTTATCTATATAATATGTACGTATAAAATAAGCCTTTTCAAAAACTCCTGTTTTGATAATCCTCTATAAAATAAATCAGATGGTCTGACTTCTTAACAGGAACAAATTACAGTAATGGGTATACATTTATGAATATTGGTTGTACTAGTGGAAAGAAATCAGACCACTCTACTATAACTTGTGGAACTATTAAAGAGTAATGACAAAGCCATTAATTTAAATATTTACATTCAAAGGTTTGTGGACAATACAAAAACAAGGTAGATAGATCTAGAATTGTAACATTTTAAGAAAACCATAGCAGTTGAGACGAGAAAGCTCAATTGTAGATGCAAAGTTATAACTAAAACATTATATTAGTGAAGAAATACATTTCACTCTTCATATAAGTTCACTGTCTTGGCTTGAGGCATTCCATAAAATGTATCACCTGCATAGTAAATCTTCGTATTTGCTATGGAGTTGCACTAAAGGACTTAGATCACAAGTGGATGCACAGAAAACAGAATCTTCTTCAACAGCCCATGATAGCTGGTTAACAAATGGTTTGTCAATTCCTGAAACTCTATTTCTTAATTCAAATCAAAAGCTTCAGGATGTGCCCAAAATAAACTGTTCTGAATTTACCTACTCTTTTTTTTTTTTTTTTTTTGAGACGGAATTTCGTCGTTGTTGCCCAGCTTGGAGTGCAATGGCGTAGTCCTGGCTCACTGCAATCTCCGCTTCCCAGGTTCAAGTGATTCTCCTGCTTCAGCCTCCCAAGCAGCTGGGATTACACGCACCTGCCACTACACCCAGCTAATTTTTTTGTATTTTCAGTAGAGATGGGGTTTCACAATGTTGGCCAGGCTGGTCTTGAACTCCTGACCTCAGGTGATCCACCTGCCTCAGCCTCCCAAAGTGCTGGGATTACAGGCATAATTACTGTACCCAGCCTGACTTACTCTTAAGAGTCAAATGAACAAATATATTAAATCTTGCAATATACATGAAAAATCCTTGGGAGGACCAAGAATTTTTCTTTAAGGAAGAAAAAAGGAAATGTAAAAAAAAAAAAAATCCCAATGGAATCCACCAAGATGAACAGTTCATACACCTATGTCTGATTAACCTACATCTCAGTGGATTACTGTAACATTTCCTCCCTTCACCTTCTCATTAATTTCTCCTTCCTGGCCTTGTTCTCTCCATTTTCCAAAACACAAAAGAAAACAAATTCCAGACGCACATTTAGATGACCTTTGACTACTTTTGTTCCTGTAAGCAGAAGGTAAGGAACTTATACCTAAATGACATAAAAGGGGACATAATGGGAAAATGCATGGTTACATTTAGGAAGCAATCGTACTAATAACGCCAACAAACTTTGTGAGAAATCTAAGTTAAAAAATCAGGAAGGTTCGTAAGAAAGGAGACAAATCCCTCTCACTGGTCACACTGTAACTGTAATAATTTAGCCCAGAATCAAAACAGATTCTCTATGGAACCACATATAATATACACTCTTAAAATACCTTTAACACAGCTCTCAACGGAAACTGAAATGATTCTCTCATATCACAGATAATTAGGTTGAATAAAATGTGTTCCATGTTTATGTAAGAACTTAACTTCCTTTAAAAAGAAACCAGTTCTTTCAAAGAGCTCTGAATTCTGTCTCTGGTTAGAAAGCGTGAAAAATTCTCAGAACTTGGGACATGATTTTTCTCCTCTCTCACTTCTTATAAGCAGATGCCCCTTTTTAGGGCATTTTCAGGTTGCACAGGCAGAACTAAGTGAGAAATACGGCTCCAGAGGCCATTCAATTTGTCTGGGTCCATATGATTGTAGGAGTTGGGTGTGTTAGAATTGGTGAACTTGACTTTGAGGAAATCTCTAACTTTTTCTTCAATTTCCTTTAGGCCTAGGCTGGTTCCAAGTGTCTCTTCCTCCAGTAAGACAGTCAGGACTAAGGCTACATCTTTGAAGGCTGCGTTTTCATGGTCACAATATTTGTAGAAGATCAAAGTAGAGCCTGCGGGCAGTGACTCAAAGCGGTGTACCACAGCTGCATTCTGGCCATTCGTAAATCCATTGCTCAGTTCCTGGTCTACCTCTAGTTTGACGGTATCACTGTCTTGAGTAGCTTTGCCTGTCCCATCAATCCGGATAGCACGAACACTACGGAAAGAAGAATAGGCATCAGCAATTTGTTCACTCAGACACCTAAGTGCTTCTTCAGCATCTCGGGCAGCAGTGAGCAGCAAGATAGCAGGCTGAGACCGAGGATGGGAGCTATTAAGATGTTTTTCCAGGAACGTCTGGCTCCTTTTCCACAGCTTCTCATCTTGACCGTGGTACTTATTCTTCAGTTGATTCATCTGGTTCTGGAACTCTTGAACAGCAGTGGTTTCTACCTCAGGAGTACTGAAGAACCAAAAACTCCCACAGGTAAGAGCAGCAAACAGAGCAAGTGGCCACCACCAGCTCCTCTTGCCAGAAGATGCGTTTTGGGGTTGTCCAGTCACTTCTACTCAGAAAAAAAAAAAATGACAGGTATAAATACGATTTTCTTAGATTTAACGGCAAGTGACTTTTAAAATCAGTATCAATCTTTATAAACATTAGGTACAAGAGGAAGGACTTTAAAGAAGAAAGCTGATTATTTTCTTAATAACTGATCACATTTTCAAGAAAATCTTATACACATAGGCTCTGAATTATGTGTATAAATATGCATATGTCTCTTCAATATAAAAACAAGTCTTTGAGGAAAAAAGTTTTTAAACACAAGAAATGGCATAAACAAGGCAGAAAAAAATATAATTTATAAAGCAAAATTACTACTTCCACTGCTAATAGCTGGGAGAATAGACTATTAAAAGACGCTTTTTAAATTTAGAAACTCGGCATTCACACGGCTAATTATTCAAGGTGAAATATTTCTGAGGTATGTAAAGGGATAAAGAAAAGGATGCATTATAAATGAACATCTTCTATGTGTTATAATAGCTAGCTGTCCCTTTAGATTAACTGCATTGATGCATATCTTTTTGTGGCATGCAAGTTAACACTAGTAAAATTTAGTTTGTAACTCATCCCTAATTACTATTGGCAATAATAATATTAATTTATATTTATCTAGTGCTTTTCAGTTTAGAAAGTACTTTCTCATTTTCTACTTCATTGACTCAGCTAATATGATAGTAACAATAATACTTTTACACTTTTATTTATTGACTGTTTTAGGCTATTAATTTTAGAAGGGACCTTTTAGAGCAGCAGTTCTTAAGGTGTGGTCTGTGGGGTACCTCAAGACCCTATTTTTTGGAGGGGTGAGGGGGGGTCCCTTAAGTCAAAGTATTCTTCTAAACTAAGATGTTATTTGATCTTCCCTTTTGTTGACATTTGCACTGATAATACAAAAGCAATGTTGAGAAGAACTTCTGATTCCTTAGCATGAGTTACAGGGCAGTGAAACCAAACTGTACGAGTGTAGTCACTGTTATTTTTCACTGTCATGCATTCAAAGTTTAACAAAGAGGGACATTCTTTTACTTAAGAATATCCTTTATGAAGCAGTTCATTATTTATGCTATTAAATCTCAATCTTTGAGTACATATCTTGTTGATCTTCTTTGTGAAGAAACAGGAAGTTTGCACAAAGCATTTCTGCTGCATCACACAGTACTATGGTGGTCTCAAGGAAAACAGTTTTGTGCAAATCAATTACAAGCTGAATTAGCACTTTTTTCATGGAATACTAATTTTTGCTTCAAGAACAAGTAACATACTACAGTCAGACTTGTATATTTGGCAGACATTTGCTTTCAAGTGAAAATTAGGATTTCAGAATCCTAAATCTGCCACCATGAGCTTGACAACTCCCAATTTGTACTTTAACACTTCTTTATTTTTATTTTTTTGAGATGGAGTCCCGCTCTGTCACCCAGGCTGGCACACAGTGGTGTGATCTTGGCTCACTGCAACCTCTGCCTCCCAGGTTCAAGTGATTCTCCTGCCTCAGCCTCCCGAGTAGCTGGGATTACAGGTGCATGCCACCATGCCTGATTAACGTTTTTGTATTTTTAGTAGAGACAGGGTTTTGCCATGTTGTCCAGGCTGGTCTTGAACTCCTGACCTCCGATGATCCACTGGCCTAGGCCTCTCAAAATTCTAGGATTACAGGCATGAGCCACCACACCGGACCCTTTAATAATTTTTTAAAGTCTTGAGATTGGCAGTGATATTAACAAATGTGATCTTTTATATTACATTCCGAATGTGTCAATGTTTGGAAAATCTGCATATCTCATCGAACCAATGTCTTCCAAATGACCAGTGCAAGATACTCCATTCAAAGTCTAAGACAGACAAATTAACTTTAATGTAATAGAGTACAAAGAACTCATTAAGATGGTTTCAGATATCATATTTCAAGTAACATTTAAGAAACTACCAGTTGTTGAGTTTTGGAGAATTCAAAAAACAATAGCCACAATTATCTGAAAACTCTATTAAAACTTTTCATATCTGTATAAAGCTGGGTTTTTTGTAGATACTTCAACCAAAACAATATATTGTAACAGATTGAATACAGAAGCATATATAAGAATCCAGCTCTACTTTTTAAGGCCAGGCATTAAAGAGATTAGAAAAAATGCAAAGCAATCTGATCTGTCACCCTTCTTGCTAACTTATTTTAAAATAAATTAATGAATATTTAAAAAATTCTCAACTTTAATTTCCAGGTACATATGGATAGGCATAACCATATCCATATTTTCAACAAAAACCTCTCTGAGATTCTTCTTTTTTTTTTTTGAGACAGAGTTTTGTTCTGTCGCCAGGCGCCAGGCTGGGGTGCAGTGGCGCAATCTTGGCTCACTGCAACCTCTGCCTCCCAGGTTCCACCAATTTTCCTGACTCACCCTCCCAAGTAGCTGGGACTACAGGTGCATGCAACCATGCCCAGCTAATTTTTCTATTTTTAGTAGATGGGTTTCACCATGTTGGCCAGGATGATCTTGATCTCTTGACCTTGTGATCCGTTCGCCTCAGACTCCCAAAGTGCTGGGGTTTACAGGCGTGAGCCACCACGCCTGGCCCATTAACTTATTTTCTTAGTACTCTTTCAGAATAGTAAGACTTAGAGAATTAAAGAAATTCACCACAGGGCTGTACAGGAGGTGAGTAGTCCCATCTACTCAAATACAGGTGTGCAGACTCCAAAAGCCACTGTAATCCCATAATGTCATGCTCTCACTGTCTTTCTTTTAATTCAGCATGGCTTCCTCAGTTAACAGTATTGGTAACTTTGCTTATTATTAGCTATTACTTTTGGTCTTTTGAACAGTAAAGTGAAGGGCAATACCAGATGTTGTCTCATATAGTTTGTCCATAAAGAATTTCACTGCTAGTAAAATACAAACTTTTTTCTCTGAAGTGCTTAAAATATGATTCTTCAAATAGCATCAAGTCATCCTGCTGTCAAAAAACTTTTTTTTTTTTTTTGAGATGGAGTCTTGCTCTGTCGCCAGGCTGGAGGGCAGCAGTGGCACAATCTCGGCCCACTGCAACCTCCACCTCCTGGGTTCAAGCGATTCTTCTTCCTCACCCCCCAAGTAGCAGGGACCACAGGTGCATGTCACCACACCCGGCTAATTTTTGTATTTTTAGTAGAGACGGGGTTTCACCATGTTGGCCAGGATGGTCTCAATCTCTTAACCTTGTGATCTGCGCACCTCGGCCTCCCAAAGTGCTGGGATTACAGGTGTGAGCCACTGTGCCCGGCCAAAAAACATTTTTAAACAATTACGGAATACCAATTTTACAGAAACATTTAATAAAAACTGAATAGACAAACTTACGTCGGCTGGAGGTTGACGGTGACTGGTTTCTAAGCTCTGATTTCTGAATGCTGTCATCTAAAGGTGAGAGTAATAAAAGAAGACTATCAACTTATATTTTATAATTTGAGTAATTATTTTTAGTAGAGAAAGAAGATACACATTCCACCAGGAAAAAAAGAAGACAGATCACCAGAAGCAGAAGAAAAAGCAGAATATGTGAGTGCCAATTAGACTGAGGACTCCTTGAGACACAAGACCCATTTCATTCATAGCTGTTCACAGCATATGGTCGGGTTTAGTACAAAACACACAATACTTAGTTTTGAGAGAAAGTCTGCAAGTATTTGACCCATAAGTATCTCATAGGATTGGTGAAACTTCCAGGATAAAAAGGACAAAGAAAATAAGCACATCATAATAAAACAAAACATATTATACCATCTGAAAAACTGCCGTATATTGAACTCTTGCCTGGTGAAGATGCTGTAAAGACAGGGGAAAAAAAGACAAAATGTGGATTATAGACCACTGGGCTCTCCGGGTAAGGAATTTGAATATAAAACTGAAGCTTAATCCTCACTATTTTCTACCTCAAACTGATTCAATATTTCTTCTGGGGATTCTGACCATTTTAAATATTAGTAGTATTTAAAAATCACATTTAAAAACTTTTCATTATTTCTGTTAACAGACAAGTAATTACGTAGTTCCGTTTTAGGCTTGTGGTTAAACAACAGAGCTCAAAAACAGTTTTCTCACAACTCCATCAAATCTCTACTTCCATCTGAATTTATTTAGAAAATAAATTAAGCCTGGCACAGTGGCTCATGCCCATAATTCCAACAACTCAAGAGGCTGAGGTGAAAGGACAGCTTGACCACAGGAATTTAAGACAGGCCTGGGCAACACTGTGAGACCCCCATCTCTTAAAAAAATAATAATAATAATAAAAAGAAATTAAAAACTATCCTAAGCCTTCCCTTTCCCTTCCATCTTTCTAAGCATACTAGCAGGTTTTAAAATCTAAGAGAGGAAATGGAGGGACAGTCTCCAGAAGGTGGAGAGGCTCAGTTATCTCATTCATACGTCCTACATTACCAGTATTGCCATCTATCACTTGCCTGGAGTTTTATAACTTTTGTATATATAAATGAACTTCCTGGTGAATATTCTTAGCATTATAGCAACAACTTTCATTTAAGAAACACTGGAATAACTGGAGGAATAATATTAGCAGGGCTAAGATTCAGAAATAGCCTTATTTTTGGTCATATGACAAAAACTCCGTAATTATATCATAAGACAAAATGACGGCAACTCTAAAAGAAACATTGTTTTTCAATTAGTTTAGCTTAGGACATTTCATTATTTAGAAGCTTCTAAGTTAGGTTTTCAAAGTTACAACTAAAATAACAAAATTTAAAAAACCTGACCACGCAAAACCCAAATCCATCAGATCATGTTTATTTTGAATACTTCACTCCATGGTTTGAAAAGATCAAATGAGATAATATACACAAAATGCTGTGAAGTGCAATTCTATGACGTTAATAATGAAGAACAGCTAAATAATAATTATGTACCATATATAATATTTAGGTAATTCATATAACACAAAAACATACACAGCAGGGTATATAGTGCCAAGGCAGGACATTGTCTAAAGGGTAACTGCTATCCTTCTTATTAACATTATTACAGATGCTAACAACAATTCTAAAAAACATCTTTTTAAAAGAAAAAATCTGGCCAGGTGTGGAGGCTCACACCTGTAATTCCAGCACTTTGGGAGGCAGAGGCAGGCAAATCACCTGAGGTCAGGAGTTTGAGACTACCTGGCCAACACAGTGAAACCCCGTCTCTAATTAGCCAGGTGTGGTGGTAAGTGCCAGTAATCCCAGCTACCTGGGAGGCTGAGGCACAAGAGTCGCTTGAACCTGGGAGGTGAAGGTTGTAATGAGCTGAGATCGCGCCACTGTACTCCAGCCTGGGTGACACAGCAAGACTCTGTCTCCAAAAGAAAAGAAAAGAAAAAACTCAAGCTTTTCTAACCTAGAGTATAGTGGCAATCACTCTATAACCATCAAGAGTAGAGGGCACAAATCCTCCACAGCTGCTATCGATTCTACAGGATACCTTGTTAACGATAAATAAGCCCTGATAGTTATGAGATTTTAGACTTTAAAAATTGTGTTTACACATATAAGCTCATTACAATAATCTAGTTATAGGCACTATTGTCTCTAAAGGCAAGAAAACTGAGGTTCACAAAGGTTAAGTGATTTTACCAAGATTACTCAATTAGTAAGTGGAAGAGCTAGGACTGGCGCCCAAGAGCATTAACTAGAAACTGTCTTCCTTTCTCTACATAAATTTCTCAGACAGGTTCCAAAACATTTATATTAATGCTCTGACCTCTCCATGTACATATATCCTTCTCTATAATCGTTGTTTGATCACCAGGCAAACAGGAAAAAGCAAAGACAGTGGTTCCATCTTTCCTAAAAGGTTTGGATGCAGGCAGGAACCTGAACTGGGACCTGTCTATCCAGAAAACCGGTGCCAACATCAGGTGACAATGTTACATGGCGTAGAATCTATAGTCCAAGGCTCTTGAACACTCACATCTAAAAATGACTTTTTTTTCCTCACGAAAGCAGGCAGAAATATATAAAGAACGAGAGAGAAAATTTGGAATGCTAAGAAAACATTTTTTAATAGTCATGAAGAGGAATCTATTATATAAGTTTGTGTGAAAATCACTGCAGTCTTCCACCTCCATTGAAAATACTTTCTTCTTGCTCATTGTTCTATCTTAAAGTCCTCATGTGGTTGAAAGTCTAAAAGATTCTATTACACGTACAATTCTGGTATGTTACTGTTACATAACTCTGAAAGCTCAACGTGGTATCTATATGTGGTAGGTGGCTAGCAATCAATGTATAATTCTGTAAGCTATAAGAAATATAGTAAGTTAAGACAAAGTAGAAATGCTAACAGATAAAATACTAAAAATTAGCTATCAAGTTAACGACTAAAAAGATCAATTTCTGCATTTCAATTACATGTTCAATATAATTAGTTTTCCTTCTGTACTGCAGTATCTTATTAGAAGAAAAACATTATGTGAACATTTTTTGATAAGTATGTACTAATTTCCCATATCTGGAAGCCATTTATCTGATATTAACTACTCAGAATATATAGTTAAGAACTTAGAAATGACATAAAAAGTCTCTGAATTTTTAACATTATATATACTAAAAGTCATGCATTTTTACATCCAACAGTATCTCTTGGGTCTTCAAATTTAATTTAATATTTGATTCTTGTTATAAACATAATTCTAATAGGATGAATAATTAATATTTGGTTTCCTAACTATAAAAGGTCAGGAAGAGCAAATTATAAGAGTAAATGGTCTTCTAATAGCAGGCACACACTCGAAGCAATAAGAAATAATAACCAACAATAAGACAAGGGCAAAAAGTTATTTCAGTTCTAGGCTGCTGAAGAACTCACTTATACGTGGGCTAAAAACTTCACTTCTTGCTGGGCAAGGTGGCTCACACCTGTAATCCCAGCACTTTGGGAGGCCGAGGCAGGCAGATCACCTGAGGTTCGGACTTTGAGACCACCTTGACCAATATGGAGAAAACCCATCTCTACTAAAAACACAAAATTAGCCAGGTGTGGTGGCACATGCCTATAATCCCAGCTACTTGAGAGGCAAGAGAATTGCTTGAACCCAGGAGGCAGAGGTTGCAGTGAGCCAAGATTGCACCATTGCACTCCAACCTGGGCAAAAAGAGCAAAACTCCGTCTCAAAATAAAACTTCACTGCTGAGAAAAAATGAATTGTGACCACTCCTCCTTTACTGATGGAAAAGCAGAGCGACAGATGTCATCTGATCCAATTACAGAAGTAATCATCCCATGAGCAAGAGATGGATTTTTATATTATCTAAATAAAAGTAAGAGAATACCTGATGACCTCAAGACCTATTGTGGCTAGATGAGTAAAGGAGGGAGAGAGGTTAAGGGTCACTGAAGGCAGAGAATATGCATGGACTTTAAAAAAATATGGTCAAGATTTAAATGTGGACACATTTCTACAGAAATTATAGAAACTGAGTTCAAAGTAGATGGTTTTATCACGTCAATTTATAGTATTCCTTAAATTCTGTGACATTTAATCCATTCAAAACCTAAACATAGGGCTGGGTGTGGTGGCTCATGCCTGTAATCCCAATACTTTGGGAGGCTGAAGCGGGCAGATCACTTGAAGTCAGAAGTTCAAGATCAGCCTGGCCAACATGGTGAAACCCCATCTCTAAGAAAAATACAAAAATTATCTGGGTGTGGTGGTGCACGCCTGCAAGTCCCAGCTGCTCAGGAGGCTGAGGCACAAGAATTGCTTGAATGTGGGAGGAGGAGGCGGCAGTGAGCTGAGATCATGCCACCGTACTCCAACCTAGTCAACAGAGGAAGACTCCATCTCAAAAACAAAACAACCAGAAAAAAAAACTCTAAACATGAAAATATAACTTGTGCATTTCAGCCTTTATTATATAAAATTATGAGTATACAAAGCTGTTCCAAGTGGTTATTTATGCAAAGTCTGCTAAAAGCAAAAAACAGGGAATTGTCAAGAGTAGAATTTCATTACTGTATACAGACTGTATTGCTGCTAGAACTGACAGCCTGTTTGTTAAGACCCATCAATGGCTGGTTTTTCCACGCCACTATTTACATTCTACACCCAGCCCATGTGCTGCCAGTCCAGGAAAATGGAAATTACTAAACTAGTAATCATAGCTGTACTTTATTAGTGAAATCACAACCTAAATGTTTATCTGAAGAACTCAACGTTTTTGTCAGGCAAAGTATAGCAAATACACTTAAGATTAGTTCAATAACAGAGATTTATTTACTTACTTTGCATCCTAGTCCTTATTCTTGCAGTAGGTGGAGACCATTCCTGGGGAGTTTTTTGATATCCTGAGCCTGAAGCAAATACATATATCAAAATATAATTTCCCATACTTTGAAAGTTTATACCATATTCCAGTGTTATAAAATTAATCTATCAGAAAGACAAAATAAAGCAGGGGAAGAAAACCAAAAAAGCAAGAGTTTTGTAAGTAAAAGATAATTTCAAAGGATCCTGTCCCAGTGAGGATGAACCACTTCCTATATAGCAAAGCAGGTAGCAAATAAATATATTATTACCTAATATAAATTACTTGTGGTAAAATAGCCCTGAACACATTTCCACATCACAGAATAATTATTACAGGCAGTACCAATCTGAGGTGGATTAAAAAGGGTAAGGAGGGGTAAAATGACTTAAAATCTTATTACAACTTTGATGGGGAGAATAAGGCAAGGTTAGAATTGACTGAAAAAAGAGCAGAAAACCAATTACTTACTCGGCACTGAAGGTTGCTTATCATGAGCTGTGAAGTTTCGACCTGAAACAGAAAACAGGGATAAGGTCATAGAATACTTGAAAGTAACACAAAAAAGATGTTACATAGACATTTTGCTTATTAACTGTGGATACTAAAAAACAACAAACAAAAAACATTATCTCAATTCCAAGCATATAAGTAAATAAAGTATATATGTTTAGAGCATACATATAGAATATATATATATAAAGAGTGTGTGTGTGTGTTTCTTTCCCTCAAATTTCTAAACTTCAAAATGTTTAGGAATTGGAAAACAACAGGGACTCAGCTTTAGGATCGTACCATCAAAATAATGACTACATATAATCTATGTGTATCAGCTATTGACTATAATTTTGCTTTTTTTTTTTTTTTGAGACGGGGTCTGACTCTGTCACCCAGGCTAGAGTGCAGTGGCACGATCTCGGCTCACTGCAACCTCTGCTTCCTGGGTTCAAGTGATTCTCCTGCCTCAGCCTCCCGAGTAGCTGGGATTACAGGCATGCACAATCACGTCCGATTAATTTTTTTGTATTTTTAGTAGTTACAGGGTTTCATCATGTTGGCCAGGCTGGTCTCGAACTCCTAACCTGAAATGATCTGCCTGCCTCAGCCTCCCAAAGTGCTGGGATTATAGGCGCCCAGCCAATTTTGCTTAATTCTTATGTGGTAGATACAATTATTGCTCCTATTTTATAAATAAGGGAAAACCAAAACTGGTAATTTCCCCCAAATTATATATCTAAAAGTAGTGGGGCTGAGATACAAATCTAGGCAGTCCACATCATATACCACATACCATACCATAGAGAAATGGCATGTACTATACATGCAGATTTATGGACGTTGCAAAGTAGCTATGAAGTAAAAGATGCTGCTTCAGGTTTTGAGATGGTATTTGACAATAATTGTAAACGGACACAATGGGATGACTAGAAAAGGACATTACAATTATAACAAGGGAAATTTCCAAATCTGCCCTGAGGAAACAAGTTACTCTTCGATGATACATATATGTATCAATTTACATTTATTTACTTTCAACTTTTTCTCAATACAAACATATGCTAGCTGTTTAAAAAAAAGTGCCATTCTAGAAATGCGTAATTTAAAAATTTGTGAATATCTATCTGTTAAGTATCTACTATGTGCAAAACACCGAACACAGAAATACTATGGTAAATAAGACAGACATACATTATTCTCTCAGCTTTGTTTTCAGTCTATACTAAAAAAAAATACTTTCAAAAATGTGGATACATACTTAATATTTTTTTTCATCTAATTCAAAGACATACTTTTTTCAAAGTGCCCTTTGATCTACAGCTGTATCTTTTAATATATGGTATGGCATGGTTTAATTAGATGGTTTTTCTTTCTCCTTGATACATAAAACCAATGGCATCTTAGAGTCAATGAAATACATCTTGATCACCTTTTCATTAGTATACTATGAACTAACTCATTTCTCATTTCTAAATAGTATTTCTTTCTTTTTGAGATGAAGTCTTGCTCTGTCACCCAGGCTGGAGTGCAGTGGCAAGATCTCTGCTCATTGCAGCTGTTGCCTCCTGGGTTCAAGTGATCTTCCTGCCTCAGCCTCCCGAGTAGCTGGGATTACAGGCCTACCACCATGCCTGGTTAAGTTTTGTATTTTTAGCAGAGACAGGATTTCACCATGTTGGCTAGGTTGGTCTTGAACTCCTGATCCACCTGCCTCGGCCTCCCAAAGCGCTGGGATTACAGATGTTAGCCACCACGTCTGGCCTAAATAGTATTTCACTGCACGGGTATAACATCCTTTATACAGGCAGATACATTTAAGAGTCTCCAGAGATCAAAGATTTGGAGTAAAATAGGGAAAACACATAAAATAACTAGAAGAGTAATTTCCACAACTGATTTTTTTCCAGCAGCTAATTCATTTTATAGTAACAAACCCAAAACTTTCTAAAAATTAAAATTAAAAAATATATAATTGAATTCTATAAATACGATGATTATAAAACAGATTTCCAAAGGCTTCTTCTTAAGAAAAGAAAGCAATGTGGAAGAAAAAATAGTTCTTGAAGATTTTACATACAAAGATATTTTTGGTTGATTAACAATTAGCTCAGTTTTAAACTAGATTTCATAACTCATACTATAAAAATAAATAAATAAATAAAATGATAATTAACTCAGATTTTGGGAGACTTGATTTAAAAATGTCAAAAGAAAACAATAGTAGTGCTAAAATAATAAAGGTGCTGGGTGCAATGGTTCACACCTGCAATCCCAGCATTTTGGAAGGCTGATGTGGGAGGAATGCGTGCGCCCAGGAGTCTGAGACCAGCTTGAGCAACACAGTAAAACTCCCATCTCTACAAAAAATTTAAAAATTAGCTGGGCGTGGTGGCATATGCCTGTAGTTTAAGCTACTCAGAAAGCTGAGTCAGGAGGATCCCTTGAACCCAGGAGTTTGAGGCTACAGTGAGCCTTAATTGCACCACTACACTTGCCTGGGCAACAGAGCGAGAATGTGTCCCAAAAACAAGAAAAAAGAAAAGAAAACAATAAAGTTAAAAAAAATGTCACCAATGATTCTTAAGCAAATCATTACTAGCATTTTGGTCTACTACATTCCAATCTTTTTTTGTTATATTTTCTCAACAGTTGATCACAAAAATTTTCAGTTCTAAGACTGAAATGAATTATTTATATACCCATCACTTTTTTTTTTTTGAGACAGAGTCTCACTCTGTTGCCCAGGCTGGAGGACAGTGGTGCAATATCAGCTCACTGCAACCTCTGCCTCTGGGTTCAAGTGATTCTCCTGCCTCAGCCTTCCAAGTAGCTGGAATTACAGGCATGTACCACCATGCCCGATTAATTTTTGTATTTTTAGTAGAGATGGGGTTTCACCATGTTGGCCAGGCTGGTTTTGAACTCCTGACCTCAGATGATCCACCCACCTCTGCCTCCCAAAGCGCTGGGATTATAGGCATTAGCCACCATACCTGGCTCATCCTTCCAAACTTTTACAATAGAGTTGAAATTGTACTAATATAAAAGTTTATGTCCTTATTAGGATAAGTCCATATAAATAGACTCAAACTACTGTATTAGTCAGTTAAAATAAAAACAACCCATTTATATCACGAGCAAAAACATTCAACAAATCACAGGAAGCAGTAGTTTTTTGTTTGTTTTTTAAGTTCAAACTCAGCTTTGGGTATAGAGAACAACAACTCAGTAAGTGAGGTCAAGAGGTAGATATCGGATGAGTTTTTTTATTTTTATTTTTTAGCATTCATTATTCCTCTTTTTCAATATTTACATTAAATTTCAAAAGAGGATCTTCAAAAATAGGAACAGCATTTGACCAAGCCCACAGGGAGACCTGTAAACATGGCTTTACTTACTTTGTGATGACTGCCAAAATGATTCTGTATATTTACTAGATGATCTGGTGGTTTGATCTAAAAAATAAAAAACAACAGTACACTATAAATAATGTTCAACTTTTAAAATGCACATTTTACAAGACAACAGTGAGAATTTAATAAAAAGAGCAAAAATATTCAGATAAATTCCAGGTGATTAAAAACTTGGATGTATATTTTAAAAAGTTTCTGTTGAAAAGTGTCTGTTCATATCCTTTGCCCACTTTTGGATGGGTTGGTTGGTTTGTTTTTGCTTGTAAATCTGCTTTAGTTCTTTGTAGATTCTGGATATTAGCCCTTTGTCTGATGGGTAGATTGCAAAAGAAGACATTTGAGGCCAACAAACACATGAAAAAATGCTCATCATCACTGGTCATTAGAGAAATGCAAATCAAAACCACACTGAGATACCATCTTACGTCAGTTAGAATGGCGGTCATTAAAAAATCTGGAGATGACAGATCCTGGAGAGGATGTGGAGAAATAGGAACACTTTTACACTGCTGGTGGGAGTGTAAATTAGTTCAACCATTGTGGAAGACAATGGGTGAATTTCCTTAAGGACCTAGAAACAGAAATTCCATTTGACCCAGCAACCCAATTACTGTGTATACACCCAAAGGATTATAAATCACTCTATTGCAGAGACACATGCACACGGATGTTCATTGCAGCACTGTTTACAATAGCAAAGACCTGGAACCAAGCCACATGCCCACTGATGACAGACTGGACAAGGAAAATGTGGCACATATATACCATGGAATACTATGCAGCCATAAAACATGATGATTTTGTGTCCTTTGTAGGGACATGGATGAATCTGGAAACCATCATTTTCAGCAAACTGACACAAGAACAGAAAATCAAACACTGCATGTTCTTATTCACAGGTGGGTGTTGAACAATGAGAACACATGGACACAAGGAGGGGAGCATCACATACTGGGGTCTGTTGGGGGGGGCCAGGGGAGGGACAGCGGGGGGGGGTTGGGGAAGTTGGGGAGGGAAAACATGGGGAGAAATGCCAGATATAGATGATGGGGGGATGGAGGCAACAAACCACATTGCCATGTATGTACCTATGCAACAATCCTGCATGATCTGCACATGTACCCCAGAACCTCAAGTACAATCAAAAAAAAAAAAGAAAAGAAGTTTTTCTTGTCAGATAAATGATTTGCAAATATTTTCTTCCAGTCTGAGTCTTCTCATTTCATTTTATTAGCTGTGTCTTTCACAGAGCAGTTTTTGATTTTGATAAAATTCAGTTTGCCTTTTTTCTATTGTTGATCGTATTTTCATGATGTATTTAAGAATTTTTTTTTCTAACTCAAAGGCACAAAGATTTCCTTTTTTTCTAGAAATGCTATAATTTCACATTTATTCCTATACTACATTTTAATATTTTAAGCTGTGAGGTGTGGAAGGGTCAGGAGAGTTTTGTTTTTGTCTTCCAAAGGGTTTAGTCACCATTTATTGAAAACATTGTATTTTTCTCAGTTGAACTGCCTTTGCACTTTTGTCAAAAATCAGTTGACTATCTTTGTCTGTGTCTGTTCCTGGAGTCTCTTTATTTTCCATAGATCTATATGTCTATCTTGCCACGAGTATCACACTCTCTTGGTTACTATTGCTTTATGATAAGCATTAAAATCAGGTAATGGGAGTCCTCCAACCTTATTTCTCAAAAATTTTTTGGTTATTCTATTTCTTTTGCCTTTCCCAATAAATTTTAGCCCTGTCAATATCCGCAAAAATTCCTGCCAAGATTTGATGGGGACTGCATTGAATTTTTAAGACCATTTTAGGGAGAATCGAGGAAAGTACTGAATTTCCAATCCCTGGACACACATTTGTCACTCCATTTATTTAGAAAAGAAAATAATGTTTTCTTTTGTGAGTGTTTTGTAGCTTTCAGCCTACAGGTCTTGCATATATTTTGTTAGATTTATACCTATGTGTTTCATATTTCAGGAAATGGTATAAACATATTTAAATGTTTTTCATTGCTGGCATATAGAAATAAACTTTTTTGTATATTGATTTTGTATTTAATGTATTTAATTTAACACCGTTTTATCTGAAAATAAAGAGTGATTTATTTCTTCCTTTACAGTCAAAAAAATTAAAACGTTTCTAGGTCACGGTGCTCACACCTCCCCAGCACTTTGGGAGGTAGAGGAGAGCAGATCACCTGAGGTCAGAAGCTTGATACCAGCCTGGCCAACATGGTGAAACCCTGTCTCCACTAAAAATACACAAATCAGCCAGGCATGATGATGCATACCTGTAATCCCCAGCTACTCAGGAGGCTGAGGCAGGAGAATCGCTTGAACCCAGGAGGCGGAAGTTGCAGTGAGCAGAGATCACACCACTGCACTCCAGTCTGGGTGACAGAGTGAGACTCTGTCTCACATAAAAAAAAAGTTAAAAAAGTTTCTAAAGAGTCATGTCATATCAAAATAATTAGCTAAGTAATTATATCTTTTCCATAACCACTTAAGAACATGCCAACAAGGTAAGGAGATATGAGTTGAGGAAAATTTTGAAAGTTTACCACAATGGATCATCTTGAAATCATTAATATTCATTTTGCTTTAAATTTTTATTTTGTCTTTTTGTTTTTTCCCCTTTTGTGGAGAACGGGGTCTCACTATATTGCCCAGGCAGGTCTTGAACTCCTGGGCTCAAGCTATCCTCCCACCTCTGCCTCCCTAAGAACTGGGATTACAGGCGTGAGCCACAGCACTCGGCTAAATTTTTATTTCAAGTGGGCAACATGTTTGTATACTGTTTTTCTTTCTCTTTATTTTTTTTTAAGAGCTGGAGTCTCACATATTGCCCAGGCTGGTCTTGAACTGAAGGGATCCTCCTGCCTTAGCCTCCTCACTATCTGGGACTATAGGTGCCTATCACCAAGCCTGACTTTTGGTCTACTCTTCTTAAAAACGTATTTTTCCACATAAAAGTAGAATTTATAACATTCTAAAGGGACTACAGGACCTGGGGTTTATGTACTTCCAAATAGTTATGCTAGTAACAACAGCAGCAAACTCTCAGCTACATGAATGGCTTAATTGATCTCTAATTTTTAGAGCTGCATGTAACATGTATGAACACTAATAACAGCACTTAATCTGAGTGTTCATTATGTTCCAGGTAAGTGCTTTGCATATATGAATTAATTTAATCCTTGCGACAATCCAGTTGGCGACACTGAGGAACACAGAAGTTAAGTAACTGTCTAAGAGCATACAGCTAAAAAGTGAAGGACTGGAACCCAAGAATTCTTCTGGCTAACCACTGCTAGCATGTTACAAATCTCCATTTCTGTATCAAGAATAAATGGGAAAAAATGAAGAAGGGTAGGAAATACACAGAATACCAAACGCCCTTCAACCAGCTTATGATGCCAAGCATGGTGGCTCACACCTATAATCTCAGCAATTTGGGAGGCTGAGGCAGGAGAACTGCTTAAGCCTGGGATGTTGAAGCTATAGTGACCCATGATCACAACACTGCACTAAAACCTGGGTGACGGAGTGAGATCCTGTCACAAAAAAAAATAAAAAACAAACACCAAACCAGCTTATGTACTTATTTTTAAAGTGAAATGATGAAGTAAAGAATAGGAATTACAGGCCAGACACAGTGGCTCATGCCTGTAATCCCTGCACTTTGGGAGGCTGAGGCAGGTGATCACCTGAGGGCAGGAGTTCAAGCCCAGCCCGGCCAACGTGATGAAACCCCATCTGTATTAACAACTCAAAAATGAGCCGGGCATGGTGTTATGTGCCTCCCAGCTACCTGGGGCACTGAGGCAGGAGAATCACTTGAACCTGGGAGGCAGAGGCTGCAGTGAGCTGAGATTGTGCCACTGCACTCCACCTACTGTACTCTGGGTGATTCCATCTCAAAAAAAAAAATAGGAATTACAGAAATTTTAAGGAGGTGGTGAGGGGAAAGTAGAGAACACTTTTCTGCAGGACTAAAGTATAAAATTACTCATTATTTACAGAGTTTACAACCTTGTTTAGCATTATCTTATTTGGGGAGAAGAGGTCTTTTTCAGCATTACCTTAAGCCTCAAACTGGTATTTTTCTCTCTTTAGTCTTTAGTCAACTCTTTAATTGAATAATCTTAAATTCACATGAACAATCAGAACCTATTAATGACTAACTTGTTTTGAATTTGAAAATCCAGAGATAAAAAATAGTTCATTAAATTAAAACTTCCTAAAAGTCACATTCCAGCCAGTGTTGTCAGTCGCAATGGCAATGTGATTAGTTTCTCTATAAAATTCAAAAACAACAAATCACTCTCCTTGAGCACAAAAATATCTTATTTTCCACAAATATCGAAAAACCTAAAAGTGATCTGTTTAGAAAGCATGACATTATTAATCAGACGTATACATGAAATCAGTAGTTTTAAGAAACATTAAAAGTTCATAAATTTGAAACTTTTTTTAGAAAGCAAATTCATGGAACGCCAAAGATAGCTTCTACAAGAAAAGTCATATATATATAAAGCAATGTTACCTCCAGCTTCATCAGAATCCCTGGATCTGGTCTTAACAGTAGTGACACTGCTATGAGAGCTGTCTTGATCATCTTCTTCAGTTTCTCCTAAAGAGAAGTAAACAATATACTAATAAAATCTTATTTTAATGCTGAAAAGATCTGAATTCAAAAAAACCAAACAAGTAATTTAACACTAAAAGAAGGCTTTTAGGTTATCAGATACAGAACTGCTGTTTATTATGCTTATTATTTTGAATCCCAAAGTTCCAAATGAACTAAAATTTAGCTCATTTTGTGTTCTCTGGGGCACACAATACTTTCCTAAACAAATATTCAGAGTAATATCTAAAAAACTATATTCTAAGGCTTAAATGTAGAGTCAAAAATCAACAGATGAGCATTAAACAGTAGAAAAATTTTAGTTTATGGGGAGAAAAACTACACATAATTAGTATGTAGTTAAATTCAGATATGTGTTTGTGTATGTGTTTGTGGTAGAGGGGTAGTGTACACACACCTATGTACAAACATTCTATTACGCAGGTAACTACCCTCACATTATGTTGGACTTCAACACAAACTAAATTTTAATCCTGTACTTTTCAAACATAAACTGGTTATGAGAATTTGGAAAACTAATTATTTTAATACAATAATAGAGAATAATGTCTTTATAAAATGAACTCAAATAGACAAAAGATGCTTAAAATGTAAGGCTGTCATCACTCATTCTATCCGTCCTATTTTATCTGCCCTGTTAACAGTTCAGATAAGCAATAATTTTTTTTCATGAAGAAAAATACACTATTTTCTGTTCTCACTTTTTTTTTTAAAGAGACGGCATCTCACTATGTTGCCCAGGCTGGAGTGCAATGGCTAATCACAGGTGCAATTTTACTAATGATTATCACGGGAGTTTTGACCTGCTCCGTTTCTGACCTGAGCGGATTCATCCCTCCTTAGCCAACACTGTGGTCCTCTGCTCCCTGGAGGTCACCATACTGATGCCGAACTTAGTGAAGACACCTGATCAGCATAGTGCACTATAGCCCAGAGCTACTCCTGGACTCAAGTGATCCTCCTGCTTCAGCCTCCTGAGTAGCTGGGACTACAGGCAAGTGCCAGAGAGCCCAGCTCTGCTCTCACTTCTTAAGTATCTGTCAAGATGGCTTCTAATATAAAGAAAAAGACATATTGTATGATATTTACAAATAAAATACCTTCTTCAGAGAAAATGACCTTCTGTTGGACACTGATGGCTTCTAGAAGAGAAAAGCATACATCAAATATTAAACATATAACATCAAAAGCTAAAGCTTAAGAATAAACATAAGACCATCTAGTTTAGGAAAATGGACATAACAACACATTTAAAAAATTCTTTTTCTGTTAAATCACTAAGAATCTATCATTTTCTTCTAGGTTGCTTTAGAAATAAGTCTGATATACACTAGAATAAGAAATGAAGAGTTTGGCCAGGTGTGGTGGCTGATGCCTATAATCCCAGCACTTTGGGAGGCTTGAGGCAGGTGGATTCCTTGAGGTCAGGAGTTTGAGACCAGCCTGGCCAACGTGGTGAAATCCTGTCTCTACTAAAAACACAAAAATCAGCCAGGCATGGTGGCTGTAATCCCAGCTACTCGGGAGGCTGAAGCAGGAGAATGGTTTGAACCTTGGGAAGCAGAGGTTGCAGCTGAGATCGCACCACTGCATCCAGCCTGCGCAAAAGAGCAAGACTCCATCCCAACAACAAAAAAGAAATGAAGTGTTTAATTTTCCTTCAGTTACAAGTCTATTTTTACTCTAAAATGTAACCTTTATACGAAGAAAGCATTAAATTCTACAATGAAAAATATTCTAGTGTGTATAAGTTTACTATATTCTCATTCTCTGACTTGCCAAATCCCCTGTACTCTCTTTAAAAACGGACTACAGGCCGGGCGCCATGACTCACACCTGTAATCCCAGCACTTTGGGAGGCTGGGGCAGGTGGATCACAAGGTCAAGAGGTCAAGACCAGCCAACCTGGCCAAGATGATGAAACCCTGACTCTACTGAAAATACAAAAAAATTAGCCGGGTGTGGTGGCAGGCACCTGCAATCCCAGCTACTAGGCTGAGGCAGAGAATTGCTTGAACCAGGAAGGTGGAGGTTGCAGTGAGCTGAGATTGTGCCACTGCACTCCAGCCTGGGTGACAGACGGAAACTCTGTCTCAAAAAAAAAAAAAATTTTTTTTAATAAAAAATAAAAATTAAAAAAAAAAAACACAACTGACTACACTAACTGGACAGATGAACCAGTTCTTTAGGGCAGTGGTGCATCCAACGAGGAAGAAAGGTAAAGAGGTTCCGGCGAGTCCATGTTCATCACTGTTTTCCAGAGCAACAGAGAATTTGAAAAAAAATAAACAAGCAAAACATACTGAATAAACTTGAAACAGAGTATTTTTACATGGGCTATTCTAAAACATAAAAAAAGAAAAGTGAGATGTACCCAAATGTAGGTATTGCATACTTGCATTAAAATATTACTGAAGGATCATTTGTGGAGAAGGAGCATGATTTAGAATTCTTCAACAAAGCTGAAAAATTTTGTTTCTTTTCAGCTTTTATCTTTACTGATCTTAACCTCAATTTGTATACTAAAAGGGACAATAATATTACAGAAAGCAACTGCTACCACATTATATCATGAATTTGAAAATATTTCTTTCAAATCCATTTAATAAGATTAGTAGAATACTGGTCAACATTTGAGATCCACTGAAAATACTCCCTCTTGATAGTGGCAAGCGTAAATCAATATCTGAAATACATATGCTTTTTTTTTTGAGATGGGGTCTCACTCTGTCGACAGGTTAGAATGCAGTGGAGCGATCTCGGCTTACTGCAATCTCTGCCTCCCAGGTTCAAATGATTCCTCTGCCTCAGCCTCCTGAGTAGCAGGGACTATAGGCACTCACCACCATGCCTCGCTAATTTTTTGCATTTTAGTGGAGACAGGGTTTCACCATGTTGGCCAAGATAGTCTTGATCTCCTGACCTCATGATTTGCCCCACCTTGGCCTCCCAAAGTGCTGGGATTACAGGTACGAACCACTATGCCCAGCCGCCAACATTTTTTTATTTAAAAACAAAAACAAAAACAAAAACTAACACACAGAAAACTGTTCATGACACTATGTGACTCTTAAAGAGCTAGACCAGGCGTCCTCAAACATTTTACACAGAGTGCCAGTTCACTGTCCCTCAGACCGCTGGAGGGCCGCCACATACTGTGATCCTCTCACTGACCACCAATGAAAGAGATGCCCCTTCCTGAAGTGCGGCAGGGGGCCGGATAAATGGCCTAAGGGGGGCCGCAGTTTGGGGACGCCTGAGCTAGACTCTGGTCTGGGTGCGGTGGCTCACGCCTGTAATCTCAGCACTTTGGGAGGCTGAGGCGGGCGGATCACAAGGTCAAAAGATTGAGACCATCTTGGCCAACATAGTGAAATCGTGTCTCTACTAAAAATACAAAAATTAGCCGGGCATGGCAGCACACACCTATAGTCCCAGCTACTCAAAAGGCTGAGGCAGGAGAATCGCTTGAACCCAGAAGGCACAGGCTGCAGTAAACAGAGATTGCACCACTGCAATCCAGCCTGGTAACAAAGTGAGATTTCATCTAAAAAAAAAAAAAAAAAAGCTAGACTCTGGTATATTCAGTATTACTTTGTTCTAGGTTTCTTAGGAACACTGTCCTTTCTTTTTCTCTTTTTTGAGGGAGAAGAAGGAAAAGTCAAACTCATCTGGTAGTGTTCCCTTAAAAAATTTTTTGTTTTAAGATTTTAACTTAAAACAAGAGATGGGGTCTCACATGATGACCAGGCTGGTATCAAACTCCTGGCCTCAAGCAATCCTCTCATCTCCTAGCCTGTAATCCCAGCACTTTGGTCTCCTAAAGCACTGGGATTACACGCATGAGCTGCATAACTGGCCAAAAATTTTTTTAAAATACAGGAATTAGCCAGGTATGGTGGCACATGACTGTAGTCCCAGCTACTCTGGAGGCTGAGGTGGGAGGCTCAGTTGAGCCTCTGGAGAAGCTGGGACTACAGTGGGGAGGAGAGCCAAGGCCACACCACTGCACTCCAGCCTGGGTGGGAGTGAGACCCTGCCTTAAAAAAAAAAAAAGAATAGAGATAAACAAACCTAATTCACTCATTTTAGTATTTCCATTTGTTTTGTATGTCGAATCTGCAAGAGAGATAGCAAGAGAATGATTAGGGCTGAAAAGGAAATGCATCATAAGGTTCCTTATCACAGGTTCATCAAGGAAGCCTTAGATCTTTACCACTGAAATGCTTAAAAGGATAGTCAACTATCGATTGAAATAAATCAACATAATTATTAGAATGAGAAGCGACAGAAACCTAATGTAAAGACAAATACATTTCCTTTTTAGTTCCCATCATAAAGCATCATTAAGAGCCAAAAAACAATGAAAACGAAGTAGTAGACCACTTGGAGTGACCTTACTAGTTTTCTTCCTAGTCATAAAATCAATTTCAGGCAATACTTTATAAAGTTTTAGGAAAAAAAGGTAACTGAGGGAGGGACATTTTGTAGTCCTGTGCCACAGAGCTCCATCTTGAATTTTTTTGTTAGCAGTATACTGGAAGAATTAAGTACCTGACCATAGTTTAAAATCATCGTAGCTAATAGAAAGAATCATAGCAACATATAAGAAACAATCTCTTTAAAAAATATGGAAGCCCTTTACATATGAATATAGAAATAGCTCTCTCTATGTGTGTTAAATAAACATAAAAACAAACTAGAAAGTGCAGAGAAGTAAGCCAGATGCCGTGGCTCACGCCTGCAATCCCAGCACTTTGGGAGGCCGAGGTGGGTGGATTGCTTACCCAGGTGTTAGAGATCAGCCCAGGTAACATGGCAAAAACCCATCTCTACAAAAAATACAAAAATTAGCTAGGCATGGTGGTGCATGCATAGTCCTAGCTACTTGGCGAGCTGCGACAGGAGGACTGCTTTAGCTGAAGAGGTTGAGGCTGGTGTCAGCCCTGGTTACACCACTGCACTCCAGCCTGGATGACAGAGTGAGACCTCGTCTCAAATTGTGGGGAGGAGGTGGGGAAAAAGACAGAAATGAGAGTTTAGTAAGCCAAAATTTGTGTTACAAAAAAAGCAAGATAATTTCATCCGTAAATTTCTATAAATCTCCAAAAAACGGAAACTGACAACATGGGTTGCTTTTGATGAACAGAGACTGGCTGGCCAAAGGACAGAGAGGGCAGGGAGAGTTTTTAATGTATATTTATAGTGACTTCTGAGTTCTGAACCATATGAATACATGTACAACCATATTTAAAATAAAATTGTATTTATAAAAAAAGGTAAGCCAACAGACAAAACAGTCTCTTACCAGATCTTGGGTTTCTTAGAGGGGGTCGACATAAGCTGATTACAAGATCCTTCACTCAGCACTAATATAAAAAGAGAAAACATTTAAAAATATATAAAATGTGAAACACATTAGCTTTATTATACGATCATCCCTTATTTATTCAACAAAGGTTTACAGAGCTTTTATTCATGCTAGAGAATTAGAGACAAGTTTTCTTTCCTTTTTTCTTTTTCTTTTTTTTGTGTATGGAATAAAAAAAAAAGCCTGTTGCCCAGGCTGGAGTGCAGTGGCACCATCTCGACTCACCACAACCTCCGCCTTGAGGTTTTCAAGTGATTCTCCTGCCTCAGCCTCCTGAGTAGTTGGGATTATAAGTGCCTGCCACCACACCCAGCTAATTTTTGTATTTTTAGTAGAGACAGGGTTTCACCATGGTGGCCAGGCTGGTCTTGAACTCCTGACCTCATGATCCACCCACTTTGGCCTCCCAAAGTGCTGGGATTGCAGACATGAGCCACTGTGTCCTGGCCAAGAGACAAGTTTTCTAAGTGAAAACTTTGGTGAACTAGTGACAATAGTGAACTAGAGAGAAGTTTCCTGCCATATAAAATTTATAGTCCTTGATGGAGAAATCTGCAATTTTTGTCATCAAACAGTATCTGCAGGAAAGGAAAGAAATACTAAATAAAATTATTCTAAATGGCTCAATTAAGAACCAAAATCTGTATTACAGCACCAATTCAATTACCTATTCCATTTGTGACTGACCCTCATTGTGGATTACTTGTGGAATATTTTAATTTTAGGGTTAATATCCTGAGACTTAATACACTTATTCTAACTCTTTAACCTTGTGTTGAGGACATGCAAATTAATTTTAAATAAAGACGTTAATGTGGGCCAGGGTTCAATTCAGACTGTCTATAGTTCAATAGCATATGGTTAGTGGAGAAGCCAATTCTACTAAAATGTTAATTTTAGGCTAGAAAACCACCTATAAAGATATGTTTTCTCCAAGTACTTCACACAACATATTCTAAAACAAAATACATATCAAAATTTGGATTGCCTTATGTTTTGTTTCATGTATCTGTATAAAAAAGCATTATGTCTTAGCTCTGAGTTACAAAAACCACATTCTGGAACTTCGATGATCCCCCTAAATATTCCAGCTCTAACATTCTATCAAATATCTATCTCAGTTAGTATTTCACATATCAAGTATTTAGAATTTGTATCAATATCTTTAAAAATAAATCTTGCCAGCCTGGGCAACATAGGGAGACCCTGTCTTCGCATAAAATAAAAAATTAACTAGGCATAGTGGTGTGTGCCTGTAGTCCCAGCTACTTGGGAAGTGAAGGCAGGAGGATAGCTTGAGCCAGGAGTTTGTGGCTGCAGTGTAACTGCATTGCACTCCAGCCTGGGTGATAGTGAGACCCTGTCTCCTTAAAACAAAAACAAAAACAAAAACCCTTGCGCATGTGATAATAAAGGCAAATTTTAGGCCGGGCGCGGTGGCTCAAGCCTGTAATCCCAGCACTTTGGGAGGCCGAGGCGGGTGGATCACGAGGTCAAGAGATCGAGACCATCCTGGTCAACATGGTGAAACCCCGTCTCTACTAAAAATACAAAAAACTAGCTGGGCGTGGCGCGTGCCTGTAATCCCAGCTACTTAGGAGGCTGAGGCAGGAGAATTGCCTGAGCCCGGGAGGCGGAGGTTGCGGTGAGCTGAGATCACGCCATTGCACTCCAGCCTGGGTAACAAGAGCGAAACTCCGTCTCAAAAAAAAAAAAAAAAAGGCAAATTTTAGTTCCCGTTACTCCACAAATGACAACTACCTTCCTCTTTTTCTTCTCTATATTCTAGCCTTTTCATGGTTTAATTAAAACCTAAAACTCAAAATCTATTTTTGGCTGGCTTGCTTTTACTAAGCTATGTTTAATCAAACGTACTCTATAGACATCACTTAACTACTTTAGATCCCATCTTTTCATTTAAGAAGCATTTCCTGTATGTGCTACTATATACATAGCCCTATGTAAAGTACTTGAAAGACACAGGGTACCAGAGAGAGGTATGAGAGAATAAAATATAAAGAACCCTTCTTTGGTAGGAGGCTCCCTCACTTGCTTGCTTTTGTTCACCACTGCACCCTCAACATCAAAGCACAGAGACTGGCACAAAGCAGGTGCTCAATAAATATCTGGAGAATGAACGAATGCTCTGACTACATACAGCAGCTAGAGAAGCAAATGGTCATGATAAAATAGTAAGCATTTAAAAACAATTATCTATGATTATTTAGTTAGAAACCACACTGGTAGAACAAAAATACTCATTTAACTTTAGGAAAAGTAAATACAATTTGTCCTAATATATTTTTAGATTATAAAATTAGTTTCGGGCCGGGCTGCGGTGGCTCAAGCCTGTAATCCCAGCACTTTGGGAGGCCGAGGCGGGTGGATCACGAGGTCAAGAGATCTGAGACCGTACTGGTCAACATGGTGAAACCCTGTCTCTACTAAAAATACAAAAAATTAGCTGGGCATGGTGGGGCGTGCCTGTAATCCCAGCTACTAGGGAGGCTGAGGCAGGAGAATTGCCTGAACCCAGGAGGCGGAGGCTGCGATGCCGAGATCGCGCCATTGCACTCCAGCCTGGGTAATGAGCGAAACTCCGTCTCAAAAAGAAAAAAAAAAAAATTAGTTTCATAATTTCCGGAAAGGAATGAATCTGGCCAGAGAGGAATAACTGTTATATAGGTATATACGACCTGAATTGATTAAATAATCTAATGGCTATTTTAATGTGAAAACAATTCAATTATGAAACGTCAAACAAAAAGATTTCAAAGTATATTCCTGTTCTGAACTAATCAACATTTTTCAAGTTTTCCAATAACATGATGACCAACTTATGTAGATATTTTTAGTATGTTGCTTTATAAGGTGATCCTTTGATTTAGTCTATATATATATATATTTTTTTTTACATGGAGTCTTGCTCCGTCGCCCAAGCTGGAGTGCAGTGGCGTAATCTCAGCTCACTGCAACCTCTGCCTCCCAGGTTCAAGTGATTCTCCTGCCTTAGCTCCAGAGTAGCTGGAATTACAGGTGCCTGTTGTATTTTTAGTAGAGACAGGGTTTCACCATATTGACCAGGCTTGCTCTCGAACTCCTGACCTCACGATCTGCCCACTTTGGCCCCGAAGTGCTAGGATTACAGGCGTGAGCCACCGTGCCTGGCCTAGGTCTTTATTCTTAAGGGTATCTTTGCATAATTTTCTCTCAGACCACACTGGTAGCCTCATATGCAATTACAGCAATATTTTGAATACCAAAGTTAAACTGCACATCTATTATTCTATGAGGAAGAAGGGCTTATCCTTACCTTAAACTTGTACTTAAAGCAGTCCTCTATCAAAGAGTGACTCCATTTAAATAATTTCTCTTAGACTTTATAAGCGTTTAATAATTCCCTAAACGCTCCTTTCATTAAGAGGCACGGGACAGGAATATGCCAAGTATTAGATGGAGTACAAAAGCACCTTTTAGAGGAAGAAAACCCTGAGTATCTCAAACCTCTCAAAGACAGACATACTCTTATATCTAGTGATACTGAATGCGCAGTGTGCTATTGATAGTCCCAAAATCTATGTACAGATTCCATCCAAACTGTCATTTATATTGGTAAACTTTTTTTTTTTTTAAGACGGAGTCTCACTCTGTTGTTCAGACTGGAGTGCAGTGGCACGATCTCTGCAGTCTCCACCTCCCAGGTTCAAGTGATTCTCCTGCCTCAGCCTCCTGAGCAGCTGGGACTATAGGCACATGCCACCATGCCCAGCTAAATTTTTTTGTATTTTTTAGTACAGATGGGGTTTCACCATGTTAGTCAGGATGGTCTCGATCTCCTGACCTCATAATCCGCCCGTCTTGGTCTCCCAAAGTGCTGGGATTACAGGTGTGAAGCACCACAACGGCCGTCAACATTTTAAATTTCCATTTATAGCATAAGCTTCCTTAGAAAAAGGACACATTTAAGCAAAATTGTATGCACTTCACATTTCTGGTAAAGTGCCAGGAGAAAAGAAAACCCTCACCTGTATGTTTTACCGGGTACAAAGTGATTTCAAATGTACTATCTCATTTCTCCAGTGGCCCTGTGACTTGTGCCAGGCAAATAACACAGATAAAAGCCTAAGGCTCAAGGTGGGTGAGTAACTTCACCGAGGTCCAGTGCTTTCCCCACAACCTCAGGCAGATATGACGTCCTTTGTTAACAGTCCTTAGATATGAGCCTAATATAAACTCCGAAAAGACTGTTCCAGACATTCTATTACATAATAGTTTTATAATGGTCTGGAGGCTGACACTCAGTTGTCTTCATTACACCAATTTACTTAACCTCATAAATTGTATAAATTACTCTAGATTTAAAATTTGAAATACTTTTGCTATCCCAGGTATACAATAAAATCTACTGTAAATAAATTTAAGATTATGGTTTTCCAAAATGGCCCAGAAAACCTGATTACAGCATCATTGTTCGAAGCATTTTTCTAAGATAGTTTATACTCTTCACACAGTAACATAGACTATTCAAGGAATATAGGACAGGCTGGGTGCAGTGGCTGACACCTATAATCTCAGCACTTTGGGAGGTCAAGGTGGGTGGATCACCTGAGGTCAGGAGTTCAAGACCAGCCTGGCTGACATGGTGAAACCCCATCTCTACTAAAAATACAAAAATTAGCCAGATATGGTGGCAGGCGCCTGTAATCCCAGCTACTTGGGAGACTGAAGCAGGAGAATCATTAGAACCCGGGAGGTGGAGGTTGCAGTGAGAGGAGATGGTGCCATTGCACTCCAGTCCGGGCCACAGAGCGAGACCTGTCTCCAAAAAAAAAAAAAAAAAGAAAGAAAAAAATTGAGCATAAAGGTATGCTTATTTGAAACTGAACTTGAACCAGATATATTTATTCTAAATTCAGAACAGAATGGTTCACATTATAAGGCATAATCTTATTAGAAATAACGGACAAATAAGTCAGGATCTGGGGACTAAAAACCAGGGATGATCATTGTTAATAGCTATGATCATCTATTATTGCGAGACTTTCCTAACATCAAAAAAAGCAAAACTGAAAATTAAATGGAACTAAAACCCAAAGCATTGACAACTTAACTGGACTATCCTTTCTCCAGCTTTTTAAAATATTTTAAACAGCTTTTAAAACTTAAGTAAACCATTAAATGTAGTCTACTTCCATGTTACACTGATTCTAAGACAAGTTTTTTACACCCTTTCACATCCCAACATCTCTGAAATTGGGATGCGTCATATCATTACGGCATATTACCATAAATTACCAAAAAATTGGCAGCATTTCCCCCTGCTAGGTGGTACATAAAATAATGATGATGTTTCTTACAGTTGATGGCATCTTAGATTTGACAAATCACAGTATTAAACTGAAAAGACTGAATACATTGTGTCAAGATTTTACCAAGAAAAAACTTAATCCATTTTAAACAGAGGGCAGATGACACATTCATTCATTTGATACTTAACAAACAAACTTCACTAAGTAGCTAGTTATGACATGAGAGAATGACAGTGAGCCACTTGGGGGAGAATGAAAGGGCTCTGGAGAAGACAAAGCTGAGTTTGAATATTGGGTTCAGTCACATATGTGATCTTAGAGAACTGTCTTAGCTTCTCTGAGCTTCAGTTTTCTCTTCTATGAAGTTGGTATAATATTTATCTTACAAGGTTATATGGGTGGCTGCTCCTCTCAGTACTCTGCCCTTGTCTTTTCTTTACACATACTTACATTGCTTAATTCGATGAACATTTAAAAAGCTGGCAGGTAAGGAGAAAAACAAAAAGTTAACTATTCTTACCTGGAGTCTCCTGTGTGCTCCTGACAGTCTTCTTTGAGATCGTTTGGCTTAAATCACTTTGGGAAGATGGTTCATCCTCTAAAAAAAACAGATGTAACAAAGAGTTAAAATTCAGAACATGACCTGGGAGATCATGGCACAGATTACGGATTTTTATAACAATAACATAAGCAAAAATGCAAGGAATTCACTTCTTTAGAAACAGGTAGTTAGGTTTACCAAACTTAGGAATTAAACTAGTCAGAATTCCTCTTGAGATAGAATACAACTAATTCATCAGAACATAAAAATATTTGCATTGTTGTTTTACAAAAATATATTACTTTAGAAAAGTAAATAGATGGGGTAGAGAGTCACAAATGGTGTAGAAGAAAGCAGAAGAGTGAAAAATGTTTAAAGATTTTAATTAAATCCTTAAAGATGTAATAAAATAGGGGTAAATACTTTACCTGTTTAAAAAAAAAAAAAAGTTAGCCTATATAACTGCACTAGGCTCTGTGGGACTCAATACAATGTAACATATTTATTGTCCACCACGTGCAAAGCATTCTTCCAAGTACTGAAAGATATTGGATTAAACTAAGTTCTTAAATTACTATCAACTATATATTAATAGGATCCTTGTCTGCAAAAACTTTATAACAAGAGATAAAACTAACACATATATGGACTACACTGTCTTGAGCCGCTACACCCCAAAGTATCTGACGTAACTTTAACATAAAGTTTCCAAAATCAAGTCTTTCAAGTCTGTCAGTACCTTCACGAGTCAGCAGGAAAACCTGCAGCCTACCACCGTGCTCTAAGCTGCAAACCCACTCTTCCTCAAATCAATGGTCTACCACAAACTGTGTCATCCCATGGTGACTCAGATCCGCTGATTTTTTTACCTCACAGGTACCTTACCGTGGGACTAACATGAAACTTCATCTGTGACTCAGTGTTAGGTTCTAGAATGGGGAGGGGAGGGCAGGGTGGGAGAGGAGTAGGTTAAGGAAACTAACTGATCGACCTATGCCTAACCTGACACTGTACCTTCACTTTGTCAGCATCCCTTTTGCCCATTCAGATGAAAATGCTAATCAACAGCCTTGTGGTTCAGGCTGCTTCGTCGGCCTCATGGACCACATTACTTTAGGTTACAGTGACGCTCACCAAAGTGGCCCATGTTTAGCAGGGACACATTTTAGCACCGGAGAAAGAGCAATCAGCTCCAGTTTATGAGACACGGGGGCACATCAGCGCAGGATATAAGCGAGTTATCCCATTTCGGTGTGAGCACTGGGCGAGGTCTCAGACCAACTCACGGAACTCGGCCACCCCTCGAAATGCCCGCTCACAAAATCTCTCCTCCTCCTCTGCCCATCCGGGTGGGGAGGGAAAAAGCCGAGAAGGTTAGATCCTCAGCGGGGGACTCTGGCCTGCGAGCTTCAAAGAAGGAAATGGAAGTGGTTTCCGTAGAAACATCCGCGGGGTGGAGGGGACCGAAATGAAACCAGACCCGGAGTCCTTCGCTGTCCCCTCGTGAAGGTCTGCAGAAAAAGGCCGCCCTGACTCCCCGCGACGGATGCCCGATGTTGGGCACGGCGCCCCAGCCCTGCGCGGGTCGCTCGGTACGACCGTCTTCCCACTCCTCGGGTCGGCGCTTCCTTCCCGCTAGCGGGTCAGGATGGACCCTGCACCGGGGCCCACCTCCAGACGGGGCCGGGGAGCACCCAATACCCAGTACCCAATCCCAGTCCTTAGTACCCGGGCGGGGGTGGGATCCACCGAGGCGCGCGCCCGCCCCCGCGCGTCCCCTAGCTCGCGGCTGGGACTGTTACCCCCGCGGTCCTCACCTTCAGAGGAATGAGAGTCCCGCAGCCCTCTCCTAGTCGTGGCGGGAGACGGCTGTAGCGGAGGCTGCTCGGGGTGCTGCTGCTGAAGGCGGCTGGCCCTTCGCGTCTTCATCTCCTCGGCTTCCTGGGGTCGCGGCTGCCTCCGCTGCCTAGACCGAAGGTAGTACGCGCTTTCTCTCACTTCCTCTTTCGCAGAATCATGCCGGAACTCTTCGAGCCGGATTCGTTTTCCCACCGGGGATCTTTCTTTGGCCGCCCGGGGCTCGAAGTCACCGTACACTTCTGGCGGCGCCTCAGAAAACCTCACTTCCCGCCGGCCCTGGCGCGACAGAGGAGTTGCGTACGCAGGCGCGTCGCTGCTGCCGCCATTTTGAGGGGCGAGCCGGCCCCTTCCTTCTCGGATGGGGGCCCTGGGGGTGACGTGCATACCCCATCCTTCCCGCACCGCCTCCGCCCGCCGCCCCTCCCCCGCCATAGTTGTTGACGTAGCTTGAGTTGATCGCGAAGATGGCTTTAATGGAGCCTGGGTTCTCCTGCCGGTGGTGGCGATGGCTTCTCGGGGGTGTTAGGCGGTGGTCGCTGTGGTCAGGGAGGCAGTTGAGTGTCGCCGGGGCCGCCGCCTGCGTCGTCACTGCTGTGTAGCAAACCTGCCTCTGGGCCCATGGTGTGTCTTGAGGGCTGTGGGAGAGGCAGTGCCAGAGCTGGGTCAGCTGCTGTGGGTCGCTCCCGCCTCCTGGCTGGAGGCACCAAAGAGGAGGGGAAGGGGGAGGAGGACGTCTCTGCCATCGGCCTCAAGTAAGGGAGGGGTGGGGGCGACGGAAGGGTAGGAGGGCAGACTGCCCGTCCCAAGCCCCGCCGCTCGTGGCCAGTGTTGCCTGCACGCAGGGAGGCTCCGGAAAAGCGAGTGCGACGAGGAGGGAGAAGACCGAGTTTCGCTGCTTGGCCCCAGGCTGTTGCGCAGTTCCCTTGGAATCTTTTTGATCGACTGTTAGGTTGGCCATGTCCTTCCCGGTGTCCCTGGCAGGAGCGATGGCCAGAGAGAGAACTTCTGCACACGTCATGTTTTCGTGGCGAAATGTTGAGTCTCAACTTCCTTAGGAAGGCGGTTACCTAGTTTTAAATTTTGTCACCTGTTGAGAGTGTACAAAATCCCATCTACAGTCATAGTCGTTGGAAATATTTTCTTTTCTGAAATATACCCATAGGAAACAACCTTATTCCTGTTTTTTAATATTTCTTAGTTTTCTACCAAGAAGCCCTTGTTCGGAAGACCATGTTAGCGCTACATTATGCACAGTGAGAAGCAAACAAGTTTTTTGATTAAAGACAGCACTGTAATTTTAAGTTGTGATCCATTACTTTTTTTTTTTTTTTTTTTTTTTTTTTGAGACAGAGTTTCGCTCTTGTTACCCAGGCTGGAGTGCAATGGCACGATCTCGGCTCACCGCAACCTCTGCCTCCTGGGTTCAGGCAATTCTCCTGTCTCAGCCTCCTGAGTAGCTGGGATTACAGGCACGCGCCACCATGCCCAGCTAATTTTTTGTATTTTGAGTAGAGACGGGGTTTCACCTTGTTGACCAAGATGGTCTCGATCTCTTGACCTTGTGATCCACCCGCCTCGGTCTCCCAAAGTGCTGGGATTACAGGCTTGAGCCACCGCGCCTGGCTCGATCCATTACTTTTATTGTGGATATGACGTGATGCTCTGCATTTGATTTAGCATGTTTTGTGGACTTTATGTAATAAGACAGCATGATAAAAGCTGTTTGTTTCACCTCCATATACCATGTTTACAGATGTGGCTAATCTTCAAATACCTAACCAAATTTAGACACACTCAGGGAAGGTCGATTAAGTTCGTGTAAAGTCTGAGTAATTATTGAAAGAAAGCTTACTTCAAAAAATAAAATAAAAATAAGCGTGGTAGCTCATGCCTGTAATCCCAGCACTTTGGGAGGCCGAGGCGGGTGGATCACGAGGTCAAGAGATCGAGACTATCCTGGTCAACATGGTGAAACCCTGTCTCTACTAAAAATACAAAAAATTAGCTGGGCATGGTGGCACGTGCCTGTAATCCCAGCTACTCAGGAGGCTGAGGCAGGAGAATTGCCTGAACCCAGGAGGCGGAGGTTGCGGTGAGCCGAGATCACGCCATTGCACTCCAGCCTGGGTAACAAGAGCGAAACTCCGTCTCAAAAAAAAAAAAAAAAAAAAAAAAAGCTTAAATTACTTTCACATGTACAACTTCTTGTAGGACTTTGTATGATTGATTAGATTGACTACATTTTACAAATTGTAATTTGGATACCAGTTACAATGAGTGATCCTGAACAATATGAAGGTGTTTGTTTATTCTTCCAAGCAATCTTAAAATGTTTCTGAGTAACTCATTTGTTGCTCAAACTTGGCACAAATTTCAACTACTGAAGTCGTAATCTGTACTATGTTTTTACTAATATTGTCCATAAATTTGGCCACAGGCACGAGGAGTTACAGCTTTAGAGTGAAATAGGGTTTGGCCTGTTAGGAGCTTAGTTTACTGTAGGTTTATAAACAATATAGGTTTTAAAAAACTGCAGGAACAGTAACAAGAAAGACCCTACCCTCCCTCCCTTTCTTTCTTTCTTCCTCTCTTTCTTTTTCTTGTCTTTTAAGGAAACGTGAAAAGGATACTCTCTTTTGTCAGCCTGGATTAGATGCTATATTTTGGAAATTTGCTAGATTTACTCTTCTCCAGTAAAATCCTGAAAAGTATTGATATCATAATATGTGGCTTTCATTTATGTTTTAAGTAGTGCTTTCTCTTTAAAGCGGCTATTACATGACTCAGTAACACGATAGTAAACGTTCCTTAATAGATTTACTTATTAAATGTAAATTTTATAGTAATATATTGAGTTCATGTTATGAACATTAAAGCCTCCTTGAAACATTTTACAAAGACAGGTGACTGTAGAAACTGGGATACTAGCTTATAAAACTTGGATACAGGTTGTAAAACTTGGGTTTGAGGGACAAATTAAAAAGGAGACGAGAGTCTGATTCAAGTTGAATTAGAAGTTGAAAGATTCTACATATTACTGAATAATCAGACTATGCATATTTTGTAATTAAAACTGCTTGTAAAGGCTTAGGAATGGCCTTTCAACTAAATTAATGAGACACTTATTGTAAAATTAGAGGCATGGTAACTTTAATGCTAACATATATATATATATATACACATATATATGTATATATGTATATGCATAGGATTTTCCCTCTTTTGTCGAGGTTGTAAGCATATAGAAACATACCTCTACTGTGATTGCCTCCTTCACCTAGAAACCGTGCAGATACCAAACTTTCATCACTGTGAGGCAAAGCTAAACTGTTGTCAAACTAGATATTCTGCTGTAGCTATTATCCAGTCTGTAAGAGTGGCTCAAAACAGGTGACATTACAGTGACAGTAGACCACCTTGGTCTCCGAAAGTGCTGGGATTACAGGCATAAGCCATTGAGCTCAGCCAAAACCAATTCTTTTAAATGAAACATTTTAAAACAATAAATTTTTGTATAGGAACTTTTTGTTTAGGGTAAGTAGAAATTCAGTTAAAGAGAAAGCATCTATCCATTGTGACTTAGTAGAAATGAAGTAGGCAACATTGTTATTTTTAATAAGGAAAAGATGATTAAAATATTAAATAGGAAGTTAATTAAAGACATAGGCACCATTTATTCCTCATTCTTACAAGTGATTGGAAAAAGTATTTTAATAATACAAATGAAAATATCTAGCTGGAAATGTTACACTGAAATTAAACACAATGAAGTGAATGGAATATAGTATTCTACTTTGTTGAATTAGAAATTGCAGTTAATTATTAAACAGCATTGAGTATTACCAAATCCTGTCACTTCTGCCAAAAGAGGATGATTGAGAAATGAAGGCATCAAAAGTCATATTACATGAGGGATTATTAATTCAGTATGTCCTCTGTGCTGGGGATACATCAGTGAACAAAATAGACTAAAAGACAAAAAACGTTTTCTTCCTTTTTAGAGATTATATTCTATGGGAGGAGTCAAGCAAAAATCAAAATAAGTAAAATAGTGTATTGGTCAGGACTGTTACAGAAAAATAAATGAGGAAAGGGGAAGGGAGTTTTACATGCGATTTCTTCTGTGTTGTCTTGAATTGGCGTGGGTCAGGACAAGAGTTTTAGACATACTCGATTTTGCCCCCAACCAATCGTATGTTCTTGGGTAAGTTGCTCACCATCTCTTAATTTTCACATTTATAAAATTAACAGATCAAAGCAATAGCTATTTTTTGTTACTACTATCATTTAGCAGACACGCTACATACGTCATCTAATTTATTCATAACAATCTTATGAAGTAAACAACGTCCCCATTTGACACACGAGCAAACAAACAGATTTAGATTAGGCAACTTGAGTTCCAGGACACGGTGCTTGCCCTTATCATTCGGCACTGGTTCTCACTGTGTTGGTCCTGAGTTAGGTCATAGGGGTCAGGGTGGAAAGACGTCTTGCAGAGATTCCTGCAATCCTGTCAGATAGCTTGAGAACTCTGGGACCTCTGCAGGTTGGTTGCACACATTTACCGTGCCTATAGCTGGGTAAGACGACCTGGCAGTAGAGGGCGAAGGATGGAGGAGAAGGCGGCAGAAGGCAGGGCACAGAGACTACTACTCCCAGCATTCCACGGGCTCCTTCCCGCGGAAAGTGTCTGTCGTACGGGCGGGGACGCTGGACGACATTCGGGCCGCCGCGGCCGCTGGGTGCAGCCGGGCGGTGTGGAGTGGAAAGAGCACTCGAAGAGCTCCCCTGATACTAACCGTTCTGCGATTTAAAACTCCGCCAGAATTTGTAAGTAAACAAAATGACTATACAACTTTTCCATGTTTTAGTATTGAAACTGATAATACCGAATTTTTCAAAAGGGCTTTCAGAAACGGCCCCTCCCCACCCCCACCTCCTTACTGCCCAAACGATATTTTTATTTTTATTGTTTTTGAGACCGATACTTGCCCTGTCACCCAGGCTAGAATACGGTGTCGCGATCACAGCTCACTGCAGCCCCGTACTCCTGGGCTCAAGCGATCCTCCCGCCTCAGCCTCCCGAATAGCTGGGACTCCAGGCCCGCAACACCATGCCCCGCTAATTACTTTATGTTTTATTTTTATAGAGACAGGATCTCACTATATTGCCTAGGCTGGTCTCGAATGTCTGGCTTCAAGTGATCCTCCCGCCTCAGTCTCCCAAAGTGCTGGGATTACAGGCTTGAGCCACCACACCTGGCCTCACTCGAACAGTAAACGAGGTAGGTTGGGGTTATATTTTCGTTTTGAGATAAAACGAAACAGAATCTTATAAATATTAGACGGGTTAAGATGTCAGTAAATTTTTAGCTTTAAACTTTAAGGTGAGAAGCAGAATTATTTTAGGGTTCGAAATGTAAGTGGGAAACTTCCCTACTAGTGCAGGTGGGGATTACTCCATGCCCGGCAGGCCTGGGGTCTCAGCATTCATCATCCTAATCCTGAAAAGATAGTAATTTAAAAAAACGTGGTGCTAAAAAGGGCAAACTTGTAGTTTTATTAAGACCTCCTACCATTTTGCTCATATATTATGTATGTACCATACTCTCAGTTGTATTTCATATCGGATAAAAAAGTTTGCACCTTTTCCTTCTTTTAACAAAGTTCTTAGTACTCTCTACTTGGTGAGTAATGCTTAATTATCAGACTTGATACTGTTACATAGATCCGGAAATGAGTTACACGGATTAAACATACTGGTTTTGTTTTACCTGTCTTTAGGTTTTAAAACATTTTATTTTGGATCTGTATGAAAGATCCTTTCTTTGTTTTGAGCTGTGGCAGCTATCCATGTTTTTTGAGTTTTATTTTTTCAGCACAAGATGAGTATAAAGGGGCCAGTGGAAACATTTAATAAAAAAAAAGAACTCTAAGTAAGTAACTATAGATGTTCTTGGAAGCCTTTGTGTGGATTAGAACAGTTTGAAAAACCAACATT